AAAAAAAAAAAAAAAAAAAAAAAAAAAAAAAAAAAAAGTTCATGCAATTCAGTGTCAGCTGAAGCCCCAAGATTTCCACCCCTTCCCCAGGGCTTCGGCTCCAACGATCGCAATGGACCCTAACTGCCCGCCCCTCCACACATCCTTCACTAGTCCCTTCCCAGACCAGCCCTTCCCCCTCCTCCCACCAAGTCCAACATGGAGCTCGGGCCCCACTTTTCTACTCACTGCAGAAACCAGGCTGCACAAGGCCCCGGGATGTGAAGCGAACCTTCTAGAATGTTGATGGAGGTGGGAGAGAGTTTCCATCACAGCTCTCCAAACAAGTGAAAATCAAACAGTAGTTTCCTGTTTTCACCAGCTCTGCCACCTGCCACCACGTTGCTCTCTGTCCTCAGTCCCTTCACCCTAAACTCCCCTCCTGCTTTATTAGAACAATTCTGCTCCCTCTGGCCTTTGTGGGCACCTCAACTCCAGGAGCCTTTTCATGCTGAGAGAGAGCTCCCTCCCTCCAACCCCACCGGACTCTGCAGGGGAAGGGAGAGTACAGAGATTTTTTTCTCTACTGATAACAGACACGTGGCTCTGTGCTCTCCCTGCCACATGAAAAGCAGCCCCATCAGGTTTGGGTAGTGATGAATAATTGCTGCTTTCCTCTGTCTCCCTAGGGAAAGCGGTAAGCCCAGAGGCTGTGGGGACATGGAAAGGGCACCTTAACAGAATCTGGGGTCAGGGAAGCCTTCCTGAGGAAGGACACATCTCAGCAACAAGACACTGGCAAGGACAGGAGTGGGGTCTCCCTAGGGAAAGCGGTAAGCCCAGAGGCTGTGGGGACATGGAAAGGGCACCTTAACAGAGTCTGGGGTCAGGGAAGCCTTCCTGAGGAAGGACACATCTCAGCAACAAGACACTGGCAAGGACAGGAGTGGGGGAAGGGGAAGCTGGGGGTGACGCGGGTGCAGGAGAGGGACTCTTTGCATTAGAATCATTTTGGTTATAAGTGACCAAAACTAAAGCCAAACAGGCAAAAAATAAAGAAGGCATGTCCTGGCTCCAGGCTAGGATGTCCCAAGATCAGGGTAGCACTGGGTCCAGGGGTTCAAACAACATCACCTGAACTTGGTGTCTCTCTGCCTCTCCACCCTGCCACCCTTGTCCTGGTTCTGTCCCCTGGAAGTCACGTTGTATTGTGTGGGCTATAACCACAGCTTACTTTCTCCTAGAGGAACAATCAGTGGTTCCAACAAAAATCCCAGCGTGGAGTCTCCCGTGCCCAGCCCTGTGTCACTTGCTGGGCCAGAGGGGTGCAGTTTTCTGTCTAGCCGTGCTGGAGTCCTCAGACCGACCCTGAGGCCTCTTGTGCCAGAATAGGAGAGAATGGATTTGGGGCAGTTAAAAACAAGTGTCCACTGCCTTTCAGAGAATAAGAAACAAGGTTTCAGAGATGGGCAGGGACTTGCCTGAGGTCATACAATGAGCCTACGAAAGCCAGGACAGAATTCAAACCCCACAGACTGGTTCAATGCTCCGAAGCCCCTTCTCTGTCTCTGACACCCAGCCCCATCTCCACGGGAAGATCTCCAAGCCTACCCAAAAGGCATGGAGCAGGAGCTCAGACTACAGTCTCCTGTGAGTCCCTTGACTTGGGTCACTCAAGAGCTGTTTGTTCAGGTTCCAACAGCAACTGTTTACTCATGTGAACCACAACCCAGCAGTGTTTGTGGAAGCATAGCCCTGAGCTAGCCAACTCTGACCCTAATTGCCCCGCTCAACAATTTAATTTTTTTCTTTTACTCTGAAATAGTTTTGAACTTATAGAAAAGTTGTAATTAAAACAGTACAAAGAATTCTTTCCACTCGGATTCACTGATTGTTAGCAGTTTGCTACATCTTCTCAATCACTCCCTCTCTCTCTATGTCTGGTTTTTTTTCCAGAATGATCTTAGTTGCAGACACACTGTCACTTTACCTTTAAAACCTTCAGCATGTATTAAAGTACAAGAGCATTCCCTTTCATAATTACAGAACAGGTATCAAATCCCATTGATACAATACAATTAGCTGGTACTCATCTTAGCAATGTCCCAATATTTTCCATTAGGGCAATTCTATTCTCCTCCATCCAGGAAAGAGGCCTCTTGTCTGAGCTGCCTGCAGAGAGTCCTACAGTCCTGCTGCTATCAGCGAGGCAGAAAGGCACAGCTGGGCCCATGTCTTGCTCATTGGGGTCCCCCACACCTGGCTTGTACCTGGTACCCAGTACAGGCTCAATAACTGGACTTGGGGGCTGTGTACACCAAGGCTCCCAGGCCCGCTGTGCCACTGAGTGATGTGGGCATGGCTTAAACTGTCCAGCCTCATTTTCCCCATCCATAAACCTCTGTGTGGGGGTGGAGAGTGGGTTGGACTAGTTGGTCTTTAATGTCCCTTGTAGCTTTGAAGCTCGGTTGTTAACCCTCAAAAAGTTTAGTCCAAGACCCCTTTCCTCCCACTCTGGGAGCTGGATTGGATGTCTTAGGCCTTGTAAATCAATCACTCACTTATCAAATATTTATGGATCATCTACAAGCAGAAACTTCAACTTGCTTCTAACTAATGGAATATGACAATGATGACGGGAGGACCCTCCCTTGAGCAGGTGACTTTATGAGTCTAAGGCCCCCTCTTAGCAGACTGGAAAGAGATTCTCCTCACTGGATGAACTAAGCCGGCTTTATGAGGAAGCCGAGGGGGCAGGGAACTAACTGTGGGCTACTGCAGCTGATGGCCAGTGGGGCCACAGTCATTTAGCCTCAAGCAAATGAATTCATCTCACACCTTAACGAGCTTGGAAGTGGGTTCTGCCCCAGTCAAGCCTCCACATGTGAACACAGCTCACTGGACATCCTGATTGCACCCTTGTGACTCCCTGGAATAAAGGAAACAGCTAAGCCAAATGCAGACTTCTGAGTCACAGAAACTGGGAGGTTATAATTGCATGTAGTTGGTGGTAATTTGTTACACAGCAAAAGAAAACTAACACAATCTATGAATACTTTAAGCCAGGCTCTAGGTCCTGGGGATACACTAGTGCATTAAAAATTGGACTGTCCCTGCCTTCATGAACCTTACTTCTCTGTTGGGGGAAAAAATTGAATAACTACACACATACATATCCAATGGTAAACTGTGATTATTCTTTTTTACATGTTCTGAAGGTAAAGTATACTCTTTGATACCCCAAAGAGTAGAGTTAGGGCTGATGTTGAAAAGTGGGGGCATTTGCCTAGTTTAGGGACAGAAGAGGGGGTGGGAGGAAGGAAGTTTCTTGGAGATAAATGATGTTTGAGCTAGGACCTGAGCGACGAAGGGAAAATTAACTAGGTAAAGATAACGGCAGAAAACCACCGTAACAACTAATATCTGCAGAAGTACCAGGCCCTTTGGGTCCTTCTCTAAGTGTGTCACTTGTAGTAGCTCATGCGAGACATAAAATATGTCATGAGGGAGGTAGTCTTATTATCCCTACTTACAGGTGAGGAAAGAGGCATCAAATACTTAAGTAATTCATCCCAGGTCACAGCACCAGTGAGCAGTCAGGGAGAGATTCAAACCCAGGCCTCTGACTTCAGAGCCTGTGTTCTCAGCCACACCAGGCCATCCAGTCCCAGGGACACCATGCACGGGGCTCTGCGGCAGAAACCAAGAAGCCGAAAGAAGTGGTGGGAGCCAGGTCGGGGGTGGGGGGTGGGGAAGGGGGAGGACTTAGCAGGGGTCAGGCCTCAGCCCAAGTGCAAGACCTCAGCGGCCTCCCTACACACAGAAGCAAAATAGGGATTCTACTGTACAACAGGGATTTCTTTACCAAAATTTCTTTCCTGGTTCCCAGACACACCAGACTCAGGGGCTGCTGCTCACACCAAGGGCAGAGGCCCCATAGTCTGTGGGTGGATTTGTCTGTACTGGCTGGTACATCAGAAACTCTGTGAAGGGGAGAAAGGGTGGGCTGTGGGAGAGGGGTGCCCCTGTGCCCAGGCCCTGCACCTGGGAGAGTTTTTGGGTAGGCGTGGGAGAGGACTTCATGTGGAGCTGCCTGAAGCAGAAGGAAGCGATAGCACCAAGCAGGTCCTGAGATGTTCCCTGCCAGCTCTGGCGTCTCCCACCCCTGTGATGCTCCTGGCTGGTTCACCACCTCGCTGTGGAACAAGGAGCCAGGCAGCCAGTTACTCACAGCATTTGCTCCAAGCATGACCTTTCTCACCCTGCAGTGGCTTTTCCCCCTTGTTCCTCCTCTGTGCCCTAAGCTTTCCACTTCCAAAGCCTTCCTTCCCCCAACATGTGAATTCTGTTCATCTTGCAGAGGAAAGTTCTGGCTCCTGATCCTCTGGCTTGGGATCTTCTAAGCCCCACGGTCTACACACCTGGGAAATGAAGGGTTTTCTCTTTCCTGCTAGTTCTATGATCCGATGACTCTGTCCCAAAGGCAACATGGTTTCCTCCTATTCCAACCTGAGCTATTCCCAAGGGCTGCCAACCTCCCAGGGAGAGACCAGAACTCTCCTGCTCCACTCTGCTCTGGAAGTATTAATTCAAACAGGCAAATGGGATCAGTCTTCTCTGCCTCCCTCTCCAGTTAGACAAGGCGGATGCTATCATCATCACAGCAGCTGGGATACTGGCCAGCGAGTCTAACAGCCTGAAGTAGAGCCATGCAGGAGAGTGCACAATGGGCACCACACCAACCTCTGGCTTGCAGTACAGTGAGCTGGGGTTACTGCTCTTGCCCCATCCCCAGAGCCAACATGTAACCTGTCCCAATCCACAGACCAAATGAAAGTGAGGAGTACTGGAATATGTCACTGCAAAATATGCCTCTTTGACATACGGATTATTTTGAGCTGAAGACTACTGAGAAATGGCAGATGCAGGAAGGAGTCTCCAACCTCCCGCATCTCCCCTGAGGAAGGTCATGAGACCCTCATGTGAAGAGGTACCCCCTCTATACTGGGAAGAAAGGAGCATTCTTATCTCCAAGGGAGGATGGAGGTATGCCTGGAAGGAATCCAGCCAAACAGGCCTGGTGAAGTTTCCCCCAGTTCACCCTTCTTAGTTCATACCCTTTATTCCTATTACATTTTTCCATGACTTTCCACTCTTCATCAAACCTACTGTAGAAACGCTCAGGCTTAACCATTTCTTCAGGTCATTTCCTTATAAAGGCTCCTGTGTCATATAAAATTTACATTAAATAAATGTGTACACTTTTCTCTTGTTAATGTGTCTGTCAGTTTAAGGCCCAGCCAGGGACTCTAAGAGGGTGGAGGAAAATTTCTTCCCCTGCTCCCAACAAAGGCCACAGCAGGTCAGTGGTGAGCAGAGGCGGAAGGGGACTTCTGAGCCATGATGCATCCTTTGCCCACAGGAAGCAGCTAGAAACCAGGGGAGAGAAATCCCAAAGCCTGATCCTCCTCCTGGTCAGGGGAACAGAGAGGGTTAACTGAAGGCCTTCCAGAGTCAGCTCCCAGAGCTCAGGCCTACCTTGGCCTCTGCTATGGAGAGGGCTGCTTTCACTAAGCCGTCATCTCCAAACCGCCTTTCAAGATGGGCAACACACAAAGATAAATGAAAAGCCACATTTCTAACCCCAATCTCGACCTAACAAAACCTCCTGACCCTGCTTCTAAAAGGGCATGGTGGCAGCTCAACCTTTCTGAAAAATTTTGCTACCAAGAGAGATGTTTTGTAAAAGCTTGCCAAAGGTCTTTAAAAGAGCTTTTAACGTTGAACTTTAAAAAACCTGTTTTAAAAAAAACAGTACTTCATCAAGAAGCAATTTACTCAAGTCTTTTCTAGGTCTTTTCAAATTCTTACCGGGGGTGGAGGTGGTGGTGGGGGTTGTAATGGTGGTCTCAGGAGAAGGGCTTCACAACTGAATCTGTGAAAGAAATATTTTCTGAACTGGCTCATTCAAAAAACATGTTTAGCTGTGACACAAGGCAGCAGGCAAAGTGGATTTCTTTCACAAGGAGACAGAGATCCCAGGAATTAACTCAGTTTTGTAACCGAAGGGTTTCTGTGGTTGCCGTATTTGCTCCACACATGATTATAAGCTGGAACTAAGGCCGGAAACTCAGACTGTGCTGACCACGAAGGGCCAATGGTCTGGTCACCTGCTTGGGGTGCACGTTAAGTCCAAAAGGCCTCTAAGATGTTAGGCCGATTGGTTCTCCACATGTTATATTTTCAGAAGGGGTGAGAAATTGAGGGACCCAAAATGAAAGATGACCGAACTGGACTGGTTCATAATCCCTCCCCACAAACAGATAAAACCACTCACTTAGGAAACTCAAAATTAGATGCTTGCTTGTAAAATTTATTGACAACTGTTTGGTCCCAACACACAAAACAGCACTTGAACCACAAAAAAAGTGTTCAAACAAAGTAGACAAGAAAAACATCTCTTCCCCCAAGCCCCATCCAAAACAAACAGTGCAAGATAGGAAAGGGTTTTTGGTGATAATTTTTGTGTTGTTTTTTTTAAAACAGATAAATCTAATCTGGTACATCTTTCCAGCCAGAAATAACGAATTCCATCGTCTTAATGCTCATACATCATTTTGTCACATCATTTAATTAAGCCTCTGGGTAAAAAAACAGACAGCAGTTGTACTGGCCATGGTGGAGGACATCACGAACACCACGTGCTTTCGCTGCACTCTCACATTTTTAAACAGCGGTTGTTAGAGTCACACACACGTCCCAAACTTGCACCTCCAGTGAATGGCACGAAGACACATTCACGTGATAGTGCAGAACTTGTTTCTTCTTTATCTGTTGCCCAAAGAACCCGTTCTTTGAGACAGTCCCAAGTGACTTGTAAGGATACCTCTTCCATGTTTAAAGTCCACAATTCTTTACATGCCAGCAAAACTGACATCCAAGTGTGCAAAGTCAGCCTTATGAAATCTCAGAATGAGGCAGCTGATGCTCTCAACACCAACTTCATTTTAAAAAGCTTCTTAAAAAAAATTGCACATTTGCATTTTACTTCCTGTAACACTATGTCTGCAGAGGAAATGCCTTCAGAAGGATTCAGAGAGTGCCATAATACTTAGAAGGTTTTCCCAGTGTTGTGCCGTCTTGATTGGGCCATGTGTTGAGAACTGGGAATCACTGGCTTCATTTAAAAGATTTGGGGAACAAAAATCCAACTTGTAGAAATCTCTCTCTAGCCCTTATTTTGTGGCATTTTATCAAAATGCTGGCTATGAAATCAGAGCCCATTTTCTGGCTTTCTAGAAATAAAATATAAACATTTCCCCAAAAGAAACCAACTAACTAGTGGAAGACCGTGAGCCAACAGGTTCTTTCTGCTCTATGAATGAATCTGCCTTTTTGCCCAACAAATACAATCCATTGTAAATGTCAGGTTTCTCTAGGAGGGGAGAGAGGCCACCCATCAGCGGACACCTCAGGCACCTAGAGAGGAAGGCCATTCCACAGGGCAGTGCCTTCAAAGGCTGGCTTTTCCCAAATGCCAACATCAGACACCACAAAAAATCCAAACATGCTTCCATAAGTGAGAAGTAACAATCGTAAAAAGACACTATTAAAAGATGCTGAGCTAACATACACACATATATACTCACATGTAAAGCTTCCCAGCTACCCAAACCAGCTTTAAAATTACAAAAACAAGGTTAAGTTGATCACCCTTGGCCTTCATATGTACAGATAGAATTCCTGTCTCTTCCTAGAGGAAACAGCAATATCGCTCCTGTTAAAGCACCTCACCACTCAGCTGATTTGTAATTTATGCATTTGATGCATATTTTAGAAAATCAGACTCTCTTCCCAACATTGCCTCTCAACACACAATAATGTGTGCTGTAATACAAACGCTGACTTTAAATTCATGACTACGAGACCATCTCCTTTTCCTTAACCTAATCTGTATCAAACTGGAACTCAACATAGAAGGGAAGCTTAAAACATCCTCAACTTTCTAGAAAGCTCCTAAATGGAACCCTGAAGTGGAAACATTTAAAAAAAATTTGTGATGAAGCCACATTTGTCAACTACAGACATAGTCAATAAAAAACAAGGCACACTTACAAGTCACATGGAAGTCAGGAACCTTCATATTCTGACCTGAAAATATGCCCTCAACTCCTCGCCTACCCTTCTCCTTCAGTGTGTGTGACCTGTGGGCTCGTGGAACAGGCTTTGTTTCAGAGACACATCATGTGTTTGATTAATACCGTCAGGAACTTATCAGTAAGCAAAGGCTGAGGGACTGCGTTATGCTACATTTAGGATTAACACCAACGACGTGGCTCAATGAAGTGGAACTACTTCCTGCTAGCTGCGTTCTCATTGCTTTCTCCTTCTGGAACACCCCATATTTTGTAATAGTTAAGAAAAATTTGGTAAAATATATTAAGGATTCTTTAACAAGTACCAGAAGTTCTTTCAAATAATTGGGAAAAAGAATGAATGAATGAAAAACTTCAGCTCAAAGCTGTGTTAAATGTGAAAGAAACAAAAACATTATGGGATACACATCTAAAGATGAAATAAGTTGAAGTGGCTTCTGGGGGTTTTCGTAAAAACAGAAAAGGATGTTTTTAAACCTACTTTTGTGTGCAGAATCAGACAGTTTTTCCCATCCTACTTCTACGTTCACATGGGAGTTAAAGCTTGGTTATAGGTGCGAAGGAAAAGTTGGCTGCCAATTTTACTCTGTTTTTGGGCTGCTTTTTGGCTGGGCTTTCCATGGGGTCCTTGCTGAGCAGTGACTCTGGGGCTTCCGAGGAGGGGCCGGGAGGCACTGGGACAGCTGTTGAGATGCAAGATGATCGGGGATCACAGGTCAGTTTTTCCTTCTTCATTGGTACTGGAATTTCAATTTTTTCTTCTTGGTTTAAAATCATAATTTCTGTAAACACAGAAAAGCAAACAGTTTCAGTTCCAGGACCTGAAAGAAGTGTTGGTTTTCAGTTTCTTGCTTGTACTTTCTCAAAAAAAAAAATGCTTTAAAAATAATGTCCAAATGTCACTCCCATGCTACAATTAACATACACATTAGCTGTGTGACCAATATTATGTATCACATAAATCAAATGTTTATAAACTGCATCCTACCTCTCGCCTGGACTTTAAAATTTTAGAGATCTCCATTTTTGTTTGTTTGTTTTTAAAAGATGACAGGTAAGGGGATCCCGACCCTTGACTTGGTGCTGTCAGCACCACGCTCTCCCAAGTGAGATAACTGGCCATCCCTATACAGGGATATGAACCCATGGCCTTGGTGTTACCAGCACCACACACTTCCACGTGAGCCATGAGCTGGCCCAAGATCTCCATTTTTGTTTGTTTGTTTTTAAAAGATGACAGGTAAGGGGATCCCGACCCTTGACTTGGTGCTGTCAGCACC